CCAGGTGCTTCCCAGCAGGCCTGAGAAGGGCTGGGACATGCAGGGAGAGCCTCTGGAAGCAGGAAGGCATGTGGCCCCTCTGCCATGTTCCCACTCCATCCCACCAGCTGGGTACTCCAAGGACTAAGCTGCTCCCTCCATCGCCCAGCACTGGGACAGGCTCTCCTGTTCCCTGTCCCCACGTGCCTCTGACTCCCCTGCTCCTGGGGACTCCTCTTTTCCCTCAAAACTCAAGGGTTGGGAAATTTTCTGTCTGTGCCTCCGGCGATGGCCGTGACCATCCTGACTCATGGCTTGGGGATGTCCTCACCTCCCCAGTCCAACCAGCCTGGCCGGATTGGTGGCCGTGACACAGTTTCACATGGCCATGTGGGCCACCAGCATGGCAATTAGCATCCCCAAGAGCCACCAGCACGTCGGCCACCTTTTCCAGTTGCCCACACAAACCTGTCGCAGCCGTGGCAGGGCATGAGCTGACACTTGGTCAAGCTGTTTTTTTTTTGGCCAGCAGCTGCCGAAACCTTTTGCCACCACTGCCGGGTCCCCATCTCCACTAACGTGGGACTTTTTGAGTGAAAAATGATGTAGGTGGGGGCCAGGATGACCAGTAAGGTGGGTGTCCCACGAGCACTGGGCAAAGCCCATCTCTGCCAGGAGGGTTTCTCTGGGAGGGACCTTGGTCCCTGCAGGTGTCCCCAGGAGAGTGGCCCAAGGTCTGGGATGCCACCATTACCTGTCCTGGCTCGCTCAGGCCGCAGCGTTGGGGCTCGCACATTTTTAGCTTGGGACGAGGAGCCGCAGTGCTGGTTGCCCTGGCAACGTGAGATGCTCTCCTCCAGACGGGGACAATATTTGGCAAGATTTGCTAAAAATACTTCCTAACGCAGCTGCGACACCACCACTCAAGTGGTATCGCTGCTCCCCGCAGGGCTCAAGTTGGGTTGGTGCTGTCCCTGCTGGCACCCAGAGCTGCCCCTGGGCCACTCGCCCTGGGTGGCAGGAGATGGACCAGGGAGCTCCCCATGTCCCACCAGCCTCCCCAGCTCCAGCAGACCTGGCAGGGCCACCAGCACTGGTCCCTCTCCGGGGCCACCAGCATTGGTCCCTCTCCGGCTCCACTAGCCTGCACGGCTGGGGACAGAACGGGGAGCCAGGGACAGCTGGTGGCATTCGCCCACATGAAGGGACAGAGGGAAGGGACCTGCGGACAGGGGAGGGCTGCAACGTCCGGTAATGATTCCTGAGAGTTTAAATAGATTTAAAAGCCTTTTTTTTTTTAATGATTTTGCTGCTTTTCCTAATACCATTACAGCCTTCTCCATGGCAACCAGGTGGGGTGGCTCAGACTTTGGCCCTGGCTGGGGAGATTAGCTTCCAGAGCTGAAACCATGGGGGGATCGGCCGGGGAGGACCACACTGGCAGCAGGACATCCATGGCAGGGACCCAAAACGAGGTCCCTATGGTGGTTGCGGTGCTGCGGTACACCGGGCAGGCACCAGGTCCCGGTGCACAGGACGGGCTCGCGGTGATGCCAGAGGGACCGACTGTGCCGTGGCGTCCGAGCATCCCCTGCCACAGGTGGCGGTGGGAGACGCTTGGAGGAGAAGACCTCAAGGAGGTTTGAAGTTGGAGATGGGTCTGGCTCTTCCCTGCACCGCAGCCACGCTCGGAAGCGATTTGCTTCTTTACCCTCTTTATTTCCCCTTTTCAGCTTGTTTCGTTATTTTCCCTGAACGAGGGCTGTCGGAGGCAGGGATAAACCCGCTCCCAGCCCCAGGTAGGGTTTGTTTCAACTTC